CTCCCCCGCCCCCCCCCGAAAAAAAAAAATATATATAATTGAAATAATTATACTGTTTGGGAGTCTGAAGTTTTGTAAGTAATCCTGCATATACCCATCTCGAGTTCAAATAGTTACTTGTCGATTGCTATTCTGGATATATTTAGTGAAATGCATAAATAAATAGAATACTTTGTAGACTAGTCTCATCAACTCAAAAATGAAGTATTTAAATTTGGGGCGTGCGTTCATTTATGTGAAGTTTACATGTGTGATGCGTTAGATTTATGTTTTCATTCCATTTCAGTTTTTTGATACTTCTCTAGCAACAAACGTTCAAGGCTTTATGCAATCTGTGCATGGGTCTTGACAGTTATTTTTAATAAAAAATTGTTCCATGTTTGAAGTTGAATGAGAGCTGTTGCTTTTCTACCCTTCCAAATTAGATGGTTCCCTAATTTAAGTTTTCTAAATGGTTTTTTAAATAAAAGTGCTTTGGTATTTGTTTCTAGGTGAGTCAGAAGTATGGCAGAATTATAGTTACTAAATCAGGGTTTGCGTAGGTCTAGACTAGGTTGCCTTGAGATCCTTTAAAGGGTGCCACAGGGTACGATACAGTGTTAGCTTAGTTATGTGTGCTGGCATGGTTCAGAAGATAAACCCATAGATTTCAAATAGGAATCCGTAACGATAAAACTGTTGCGGTCTTTCTGAGTTCTTTACATCCAAAGACTTGCTACAAAAAAAAAAGAAAGAGCGAAACCTAGGAGTTGGGATTTTCTGAGGGGTGCCCTCAAAAGGTTTAGAACCTGTGGCTCAGGCCTTAACATCTTGGCTTTGCCATTGTGGACAGCTGTAGGGACAGAGGAGCAAGGACGGTTTTCTGAAATAGCGAAAAAAAGATTTCTCTGCTCGCTACGTGTGCTCCAAAAGAACTCCAGCTTACAACTGGTATTTCATTTTTGGTGCGAAGGCAGTGATGTAGTAGTGCCTGAGCATGTACCCATTTTTAGAGTGCTGTGGGCTTTATCTATAATAGGGTTTAATATATGAGGTTAATTGATGCATTCTAGCTGTTATTTTAATATCCTATGCAAGGCATATAGGACATGCTACCTTCACTATCTGGATGAAAGTTTTTTAAAGTTAGCCCATGTTTGCTAACACATTCTGATACCACACGTTAAAACCTTACTTTAGACAAGGCCTTAGCAAGAAACTTGTGACTGAGTTGAATCATCTGTGGACAAAAGTAGTATATGTTTTCATCTGTGGACAGAAGTAGTGTATGTTTTCAGCCTCATTAGTTTAACAGGGTACTTTTTAATATAGAGGCTAACACATTTGCTTAGCTGATTCTGTTGCCCACAGCACAACCAGCAAATGTAGGGGCGTATTAAACTTAGCTGAAAAGCATGCCCCTTTTCCTTTATAGCATACATATATTATTCTGAACAGAAATGGGTGGCGCATTCAAAGCTAAAATGTTCAGAAAACCAACTATGCTGCTATAGTTTAGGTAATGTCTTCAGTTTCCCTTCAGAAACTCTTTATTTTGAGGTGTTCATAATGTCATACTGAAAGTTGTGCTACCAGCTTCAGTTTGGAAGCAAGAATGACACTTAAAATATGTGTGTACACATACACACGTGTGTAGCTTCAATGTCTTTTGAGCTTTTGGATGATCCAAATGACAGTGATTTTTTTTTTTTAGAGTTGTTTCTCTTTAGTAACATCTAAATACTCTTGATGCCTTTTGGTTTTGAGAAAAGGATGGGAAATTAGTAAAAGTTCTGAGATTTCACTTCAGAAATGGCTGCAGTTGTTTGTAGAATATAATTATTTTCAGAGGACTTATTTTCAGAGGTCTGTCTACAATGATTGCTTAGAATTGGTTTGATTTGTAAGTCATTATGCAAACCTGAATGATATCATACCTGCTTTGCTGCTTTAGTAGCAGTACATTAGGGAGTCTTCACTTTTGACTGACTTTGGTTTGTGTCCAAACTTGAGGTTTATTATAACTTGACTTTATGCAGCTTTTATGGGTTTCTTATATATGTGAATCCATATACTGAATTTGCCATAAGAACTAGCATTTGCAAGGTTATGTAAAAGCTTTCTGATTTTGTTGTTGTTCTGATTTTGGTCATCATCACTGAAGAAATAAGGAAGCAAGTAATTTTGATAAGGGGAAAAATATTTTTATTGGTCATAGGAAGGAGAATGGCATTCTTAGGAATGTACTGTAGCCCACTGATTTAAAAAAAAAATAAAAAATTTACGTGGAATAATTTGATGCGAGGCGGGTTATCGCTATAAAAACTCAAGTAGCGTTATAGTTGCTTGCATGCATTGTCTCTTCCATAATATCGGTGAGTTGTCTTTTTATTTTATTTTATTTTTTTAAATCTCCATCCCTTTTGCATACAGCATTTTACCAGCTTAACCATTTTCCCTGTTAAAAGTGCATTTAATTTATTTGGGTATGTTTTTGCTATAGACTTAATCCAGGCTCTTACCTGGGTTTTTGGCCAATGCCCTCTATCATCCACATCCACCCCTTTTATTCAGTTTGGGAATACTTTAAAGCCCCAAGCCATCTGGGCAGTGAGGAGCTGGGCAGTGAGGAGTCAGGCTAAATCATGTACGTGTCGAAAGTGCTTTCTCAAAGTTCTCTCTTGAAGGACAGGCAAGTTCCTGTCAACTGTGGGACGAAAGAATTGTGTCCTGGTGCAGAGAACTATAACACAGCCCAGTGAGAACTGGTGAGAGCAGAAATAGTGAGGGCACAGTACCACTGATATAAATTTACGTCAAGAGTGATCAAGCCAGGGCTAAACAAACACAGATGGGAAAACTATGGAATGAGAACATACCCTTTGAGTCTGCATAAAGGTGGATCACCTAGAACTTGTGACTAACATCTAGAGTGGAGTTGTTTTGATTTCCCTTTTCAAGGAACATGGTTAGTTTAAACTGGCTTCAAATTTAACATTTGTAAAACTTCTTAAAATTTGAAGAGCACTAAGTGTTTCCACGCTTGAAATAATGTAAGACAGCAGATGTCTGTAAACAAATGCCCTGAAAAGTTTTGAAATTCAGATCCTGTAGCACTGAACACCTGAAAGTGACTAAATGAAAGCAGAATAGATTTAATTAACTATTTCTGTCCCAGCTTAAACACTGTATATAATGTGTTTTGAATTTTAATGTACCAGGTTTGGGTTGGGGAGAGGTGAGGTGAGGAACCTTAGGTGCAGTTGAGTTAATTAGGAGCATCAGTGGTCTTCCTCTACTCTTATATGGAGAAGTTTCCTAATCCTCAAAGAAGTATATAATGGAATAACATTGCCTCAAGTTGACTTTCTGAAGGAAAAAAAACCCTGCAAATTGATGTCCAAGGACAAAAAAATGCTCTAGTGAAAAGCTTTTGTTGAAATACCTAGAAAAATCTATTTTATTGAGGTATTTCCCATGTTTTGCTAATAAAGTTTACCTTCTTGGTGAGAACTGTATTTTTAAATGTTAACACCATTAGCAAAAGTTAACTCATTTAAAACTTAAATAAATTAATGCAGCTCACATCTAAAGCTTTATGGTTATATGAACAATACATTTTAAAATTTAATTTATGTTGAGCTGAACTTCCTGGGTTCAGATGCAAGTAGTTAAAATTGGTTGTTCATGAGAAAAAGCCTGTTTACTAAGCCTCTGTGTGATTTTCCACTTGTCTTAGTGTGAGCTTAGCAAACTTCAGACAACCTTTAATTTACTCTGCTGGAAGGGTCTGTTGCTGAGGAGCCAATCCGAATTGTCTACATTCACTTCCTTTGTCAAGGAAGTAGATTGGTAGCATCTGAGATCAGACCCAGGACAGAGAGAACAACTGTTCAAAATAAAGTAATGGGGTAAGGAAAAGAAAACTTTGTCGTCTGGCAGACAAGTGCAAGTGTTAAGTAGTGCTCCATTTATTTCATTACCTTGTACACATGGAGTTTACTTATACTTCTTGTGTTTGTCTAGTTACTGCTGTAGATCTTGTCACTTTATGTAATGAAATATAAAAATGTAAATTTTACAGGTACAAAATCTGATCATAAAACTGACATATGCATTTACTTGATGGCATGTAACACACAGGAAAGCTCATGTCCACTATCTGAAATAGTCTGAAGTATTTGATGTTATAAGAAGTGGTAGTTACTATG